GCTCCTTCATGCATCTAGGATGCAGCAGTCTGTCACTGAAGGAGCTCTGCAGTTCAGCAACATTTACATGCATGGCATTAACTGTTCAATTTTTATGCAGATTCCCCCATTTTTAAAGGTTTAAATGCTCTTCCACTCTGAATAAGCCACTTCAAACTCGCTCACACACACATTATTTATCTAACATTCTTTATTTAAGAAACACATACATGCTTACACTTAACTAGGGTTCAGTATCCTCCCAGGCACATGTCAACATCCAAATATGAGGAGCCAGGGATTGATTTGGGTAGCAAACTTGCATTTGGTGATAACAGGGGCTCTCTGTAATTTGTAAATCGGCAGAGCCCAAGTTAGTATTAAGAGTGAATAAGCTACCAAACAGGACTTCAGGTTGAAAAACTAAAATAAACATATGAGAGAGATTGGAAGAATTTTAGAAGTGGCAAAACAACAATTTTTTACATTATTAAAAAGAAGGAATTCACTGGTTAGCTCAGCAACACCAAATGTCTCTGATCACAGAATTATTTTCTGGGTTAGGACAAAACCCTCCTCAACATCTGGCCAAGCCTCAAACACGTGAGGTACAGACACAGCCGCTTAAAATAACCACCTCATTCCTGACAGGACGATGACAGATACCTGGTGGATTCCTGCCTGATGGCCAAGCAGCATTGTAATGTAAACAGTGTAATGTCTTGTGCATCATCCAGGGGGCGCAGTGCTAATGGAAGTCCATTTATTTACAGAGGTTGTGCACACTGAGTAAGCAAGATACAAAGCAAAAAGTGATGCTTGCATTCTTGGGTTATTCCTCAGTAATGTTACTGGACATGAAAGCATGGCACGACAATGTCTTCTTTTAATTAAAACACGAAAATCAAATTTTAAGCAAAAGTTGATGATTGGTTGGTCCTGTAAGAGAAAAGTATATTTTTAGAGTTACAAAAGGTCAGACAGAGAGCACCATGACAGCAGTAACAATGTAATGATGCTTTTAATGATGAAAATTTATAGGTGTCAGTGAAACACTACTGTACTGCAGGAGAGGGAACCAGAGCATCTACTGTACACGTGTGGGCATTCCAGCCAGTTACTGTATGCATTGGCTTTGCTAATAAACGAACAGTCATAGCGCCATCACAGATAGTTACGTTTGGCAGTACTGGTGAAATCACATTTGTCTGACTCCTCTTATAACATTACCTGTGAAATGGACACTCCAAATGCAACAACAGAGACGGTGGCTGTCCCTCAAAAAAGTGTCTAACCTTTCAGTTACTAAATCAATGCAGTAGTTCATGTTCAATTTTAATTTAAACATGCCCCAACTGCACAACAATATGTATGTGTGTGTGTGTGTGTTGTCTGCCAGAAATATTTGGCACTTTATTTTAATTTTTCTGATGATTAAATAAGGTCAGTGAACTGCTGCTGAAGGAGCCAGTTAAACTTCCAATAAATGAACAGTCATAATGGTAATGATCACAGTCCTGGCTGCTTATTCAAGCTGTCTGTCACTAATC